CAACTCATTTAATATATCCAACTCAACTGAACTCCTTATCTACCCTCCACAAATCTACTACCCTTTTGTGTCACTTCTTTAGGAAAAGGCAACATTCTCCTGGTTGACTAGTTCAGAAACTTGGGATTCATTCGAGATCAGCGCATCTCAAACTTTTGGTCTCAGGATCCTTTTACACTCATAAAGATTATTGATGACCTTGTGGGCAGCGAGGAATAATTTTTCCTCTACCCTTATAGGTTCTTGGCTGATACCCACTCTGTAAAAAAAAAAAAAAAAAGATTAACTGGAGAAAACTTTTTAATAAATATTTTTTGGAAAAGTGATTTATTTATTTAGGTGGTTTGTTTGTTTTTTGGTTTGTGTTTTGTTTTTGTGGGGAGGAGGTAATTCAGTTTATTTATTTCTTTGGTTGTAGAGGAGGTACTGAGGATTGAACCCAGAACCTTGTGCATGTTAAGCATGTGCTCTACCACTTGAGCTATACCCTCTCTCTGAAAAACAAATTTAAAATCATACTCATGGGGTTCCTACAGAGCTATGAGATCCAAAGGCAACCAGGCAACTGAGGCTTATATACCATCCTGAGATAAGAAGGGGATTGTGGTCTGGGAATTCAAAGGGAAAGAAGGCAATTTATAGGAAAGTGAGAAGAGCAAATGTTTGGTAAACAACTGTTTGCCCTGCCATGCATATAACTTCCTCAAGGTATAAAATTATATCTCTTGTAATACCTCTTTTCCTGGTACAGGCCCTCTTTTAAAATTTCTTTTAGGCAGTTAAGGAGGGGGTAAAAAACTTCTCTTAAGTCTGCTGGGTCTTGATTGCCTTTAGGAGCACGTGCTAAATAAAGTGGCATCTTTGGAATGGCACATTCTGCTACAATTCAACCCCAAACAGCCCCAAACAGATTTTATTTATATGGGTCATATGTATTGATATTTACATGTTAAAAATTAAAACAGAAATTTCCAAACTTATTCCAAAATTAACAATAAACACTCTACATATTAAAAGAATCTATTTTTAAAGACTTCATCATAATTTTATTCTTTTTTTAAAAATTTAAGTGTAATTGATTTACAGTGTATTAGTTTCAGGTGTACAACATAGCGATTTAATATTTTTATAGATTATATCCCATTTAAACCTATTACAAAATAATGGCTATATTTCCCTGTGCTGCACAATATATCCTTGTTGCTTATTTATTTTATACCTAGTAGTTTGAATCTCTTAATCTCCTACCCCTATCGAGGCCCTTTCCCCTTCCCTTACCACACTGGTGACCACTAGTTTGTTCTCTGTATCTGTGCATCTGTTTTTTTGTTATATACATTCATCTGTTTTATTTTTTAGATTTCACATATAAGTGATAACATAGAGTATTTGTGTTTCTCTGTTTGACTTACTTCACTAAGCATAATACCCTTTACATTTGAGAGAAGTGGCTTTGTTTTACATTTTTACAGATTTCTTACAGTGAAGACTATGGAATTTTCATATCTGCTTCTGCATGCAAGCTGTCAGAAAATATTGTTTGGGTTGAAGTATGGTAAGAAAATGTGCCCTCACACAGACATGTAGTTAGAAAGAGGAGGACCATGCAGATTGTCTGAGAACTCAAAGACACGAGGGTCCTGGGACCTCACTTTGAGAAATGTGGCTTTATGTAACTCTCTCATGCTACCCTCCACCCTGCCATGCAACCAATATCCTAACCTTGTCAATTCTATATTTAAAAAAATATTTCCTGTCTGTCCTGTCTTCTGCATCCTTATGAACACTACTTTCATTCAGACCCTAATCATCTTTCATTTATCCACAAACACCTTCCAATCTGGCCTCTGTATTTCACGTGTTCTCAGAATGATTTTCTAACAGACAAATCTGAACTTATCACTCCACAGTTCAAATTATTGTTCTTTAGGAACAATAGGACCAAGTCTAATCATCTTTAGCATGGCTAATAAAACCACCCACATTCAGGTCTCTATCTGTCTCTCCAGTAATTTGTGTAGTCATACTGAATGTGAAGAACAAGCTGTTTCTTATTTACAATATATTTTGTGATGCTTTTGTACCTTTGTGTTATGTTCCTTGTCTGTCTTTCTTTCTATCTCCCTCTCTCTCTCTATTTATTTTGGGGGGAAGTAATTAGATCTATTTATTTATGTTTTTAGAAGGAGTACTGGGGATTGAACCTAGGACCTCATGCATGCTAAGCATGCGCTCTACCACTTGAGCTATAACCTCCCCTGTTCCTTCTTTCTATAATGCCCTTTCTGTCCCTTCTTTCTATAATGCCCTTTCTGTCCCTTATCCACTTATGAAATCCTACTCATCTGTCGAAGTTCAACGTAGGTATAATTACCTAACAACACACTCCCTTCCCATCTCCATGCCAGAACTGGGAGGCTTTTTTGTATCTCCAGCTGAATAGGACTAGAGAAGACATGTATTAACACTTCACAAAATGCTCATCAAATAAGGCACATTTGGGGGGAGGGTATAGCTTAAGTGGTAGAGTGCCTGCTTAGCACACACGAGGTCCTGGGTTCAATCCTCAGTACCTCTTCTATAAACAAACAAACAAACAAACAAACAAACAAACTTAATTACTTCTCCTCACAAAAAAAAAAATAGGCAAACTCAATGAATGTTTCATTTTCTTACTGTCGTGTGGAAACCCCTACTTCTTTTTGGTCCCTTACTATAAATACTATATGCTTTATTTGCACAGTTATCCAAGGTAAATTTTAGGGGGAGGAGGGAAAAGTTAAGAGTAATATAATATTTCATAAATGCTTTCTTGATACAGTTTTGAAATAATGTGTAAAATCTCTCAGTTCCCCTATGCAGGCAATTTGCTAAGCTCCCACACTCTGGGGCTAGGTACCAGACCACCAAGGATGGCCCTTATGCCCAGGAACCTGGGAAATGATTCAGTTTACACAATCCACAGGGAGCTTGGGAAACCTAGCTAACTCCACCCCCACTTGCAGTGTATATGCTGTCATTGTTCTGTGTCCCCTTGTCCCTGAGCGCAACTCCCTGTATAGCAGCCTTGTCTAGTTTGTAACTGTAGGTAACAAAGAGCCTTTTGTCTAAGATTAGTTTGTTCTATCCCACCATCAAAAGAATCTTTAAATTTTATAAAACAGTAGTCTATAGTCTAAATTTTTAGAATAATCTTGTTGAAGAACTTCCAAACATAATTGAGTTACATGTTCACAGATTTAGTAAAGAAATGCTGCTTCCTATAGTTAAGTGTGATGGATAAAGGGAACTCAGAATAATAGCTTCAGTGGAAAGCAACATTCTTTTCAAGAGCTCACTCAGAAGTCTTCTAAATAATTTAAACATTTATTGCATTCATCATTTGATGAATCCAAGGGCACACTTAATTCCTACCTTTTATGCAGTCTGTAATGAGGCTGAATACCTCAAATTCTCTTATTTGCAAAGCTCTTAAGTATTTAAGCTATGTCTATAATGAGAGATAGGTTTGAATATTGCCAGTAAAGTTAACCAAAACATTTAAATTTAAAAAATAAATTCACTTGGGTAAGAGGTATGCTGGTAACAAAGTCAAAATATTTGGCAATCTGCATTAGTACAGATTCTCACCCTCTTTTGTTAACAAATAATAACTCAAGTAGTGCAATGAAATACACTATCTGTCAAAGAGTGCTCATATTCCACCTGCTTAAAAAGCATTTTTGATGACTGTTAATACAGATTACTGGGCCCTTCTAGAGGTAGGATTCAGGAGTTTGCATTTTTAATTAATTTAATTTGCATTTCAAATTGATTTCTGTGTACTTTAAAGTTTGTGTGTATTATTTTAGGGGGAGACATGATGTTATATGAAGGTGTGGTTCAGTATGTGAACTGTCTGTTACTGGTTTACGATGAGACAAATACAGAAATCAAGAATATGCATTTAGAATCATTTACAGCAATTTTCTGAGCCATCCCAGCATATGATTGGTGGGTTTATTATCTTGCATGCCTTTGTTGTTTTCTTTATTTCATTTTCCTAATATTCATTTTTATTATTTTATAAAAGGTATCAATCTGTGATGGTTAGAAATAAAAATTTAACCCCTCTCAAATAAAGTTTGTGTATATTTCTAAAAAAAAAGGTGAGAAAGGATACTTCTCAACTTTGTGTGAAATCCTTGTGAACACCCCTTGTCATGAATTCCCAAGTCAATTTAACTTACAGATTCTCTTAGTCCCTGCCTTCTCCCCTAGCCATCCTAGGAATATTGCACATCTATAGATTTGCCCAGTGAAATCATCTTGCTGGCAGCCCAGCATAAGCTTATCTGAAAAGAATAAATATAATGAAGAGAAATAATAAATACAACTCCACTATTGAATGTGTATTCAGTGATAGAGGTGAAGTATTTTTCATACATCATCTTATTTTTAAAACCAGGAAGTGTTATAGACAATATTCTGGTTTAGTATTTGAAGAAACTAAGGTTCATAGGGGTTAAATAACTCATTTAGGGTCACACAACTAGTTGTTGGTGGAACCTGGATTAGAACACAAGTTTTTGCTTCAAACTCTCATGCTTTTTCCACACTACCTCTGATCATAAAAAAGTTAAATTAATAATTAGGAAACAAGATAAAAGAAAAAATTGTCCCCAAGTCACCAAATCCTCAATTTCTTTCATGATACAGTAGCCACTGGCAATTCATGGCTATTCCAATGTAATTAATTTAATATTTTAATTTAAAATTAATTAAAATTGAATAAAAAATTCAGTTGCCTGGTCACACTCACTAAATTTCCAGTGATCAATAGCTTCCTTGGCTCGTGGCTGCTGTATTGAATGGTACAGATGTAGAACACACCTATTTGACAGCACTGCCTGAATGTATAGGTAAAAGGAAATTTCATATTTGAGGTGTTAGTACCTTTGGTGCAGAAACAAAAAAAAATTCTCTGTATTTACAGACTTATTCTGATAAATATTTTTTTGTCCTGTTTGCAGTATCATACTTGATCATCAAACTGCTGCTAGAATGTTCACACCTATTACTGCAAATGCAAAACCCAGGGAAAAAACTCTCCTGGGAATTTACTTCAGGTCAGGGTCAGCCTGCCTGGTACAAAGGATAAATATTTTTTAAAAATCTTAAGCCATTAATGTTTTCATGTTTTTACTTAGAATTATAATCCCCCTCCACCCTTGAAAGAGTAGATTGTAAAGCTTTTTTTTAAAGGTTCTGATGGCAGTAATCTGCTTGTTGCACTGATCAGACATTCTTGAATGTACAAGTTCTAAAGGGAAAATTGGATCTTTTTCAGCACACACAAATATTTTCATAAAATTAATTTTTCCCTTTACAACCAGATAAGATCCAAGCAGTTAAAACTGTCGGGGTGCAGTTCTCCATGGTGTTTCTACACATCTTGTGACAGCATTTGTCCTGGAATGTCCTTTCAAGGACGTCTGTATAGCAAACAGTCTTGAAAGATAGAGGGCCCTCCAGGGCAAAGGATGGATTGTTTCCTGAGCAGATTAAATAAAGATTACATTTCCCTCTGGGGCAAAAGTTGGTTAGGTTTGGTAAATTTCCTCTTTAAAAGATTAGGGAGTTCCTAAGCTTGGGGTCGCTCAGCTGTGACACACACATCCTGCTCTGCTCTACATCTCCCCCTTGGGTCTTGGGGGACCAGAGGAACTGATGTCAGTGAAGCTCAGGCTGCCCGCTGGGCCATGACTAATGAAGTCTTGTCCCTAATGCAGGAGTCTGTGTCATTCTGCTGGCCTCCATGGGCTCACGTGTAGGCTTACAAGCTGGGTAAAATCTTAGCACTTAACACAGTTCTTGAGAAAACAAGCAAATGAGTGCTACTAGCTATGTCCTGAGAAGCAGCCTACCATCCAGAGTGTAGGAGAGAGGCAGAGTGACAACAAGGATGGGGACTGAAGGAGTGGGAAGTGGAGAAGGCTGGGAACAAAACGTATCATTTTATTTTGTAACAACAACTAATCCATTTAATTTAGCATGTTATACCTGGACCTCAAAATAGAAGATGTTACCGGACCAAACTTGGGTCCACTCACCTGTGCTTTAAAGCCAATCTACTGACACGGGGTTGTGGTGAAGAAGAGTGCAGCATCAGACAAGAAGTCTGGGGCAGCTAATGGTCAAAAAACCCCAGCTCCCCATAGGCTTTAAGAAAAAGGCAAGGTGGGGGGGGGGGTCCCAGGGTATATGATCAGCTCGTGCATAATCTCTGATTGGTTGATGGTGAGGCAGCAGGATGCTGTCACAGGGGTTAGCATCATCAATCCTCAGGCTCCAGCTGGTCTAGGGGCTACATGCTCATGGTCATTGTGTAGTTAACTTCTTCCTTTTGATGGGTGTTTTAGCATCTGTAAAACAACTCAGGAAATGTGCATTGGATACTGTCATCTCTGTATTTCGGGGAGGAACTAGAGATTCTGTGACTGCCATTGAGCTGATATACTGTTTAAATTGTTATCAGTTCTCCTGGCTCAACTGCTACTTTTGTCACTACCTGTTCACATCCTTTCAATCATTAATTCTTGAGCCAGGTTTTTGTGGCTTAGGGGAAGCCTTGGGAGACTACAGCTTTTCTACAAACAAAAGGCAGGCAGAGGACACAGTGGGGAGGGGTCTGTCATGGGGAGGACCCATAGGGTCCTGCTCAGTTACAAAGATATAGGTTAATATTTATTTACATATTTATATATTTATTTATCTTAGTGGAAGTACTGGGGGATTTAATCAGGACCTCCTGCATGTTAACCACTGAGCTATACCCACTCCTAAAAACTTCCAGCATTTTCTGTTAGAGGGATACTAGATTGTTGAAGAGTTTTCTTGTTTGTTTTTTCCTCTCTTAGTGGAGGCACTGGGGATTGAACCCAAGACCTTGTACATGCCAAGCACAGGGGCTCTACCATAGAGCTATACTCCCCACCCCAAAATAGGTTAATATTAACCTTGGTCAAAAACAGAACAAAACCCTGAAGTTGCTTTAGAATAAAATGGATGCCTAACTAGTTTTGTAATCTTCACTGGGTTTTTCCTCTCCACTGTCAACTCTAAAGGATTCCACATTAAAAATTACCCCACTAGTTGGTGGAACTGCTCCCCTTATCCTAAAGCCACTACCCCCTTGTTCTTGCTTTCCCAATGCTCAATCAATAGAGCTTTTAGTCAATATTAGATTGAAACCGGTTTCACACTCACCCAAACCCCCAACCTTACCCTCATGCACTATACCACCTTCACCACCACGCCCGGACTCCCTTGACACCCTTCTACACACATCCTGATATGGAAGGTGTACCACATGTGCCCAGGAGGGAGTGATGGTTGGTTCATTGAAAGCAGACAAAAAAATAACTAACCATGCACAACTAAGATTGTAAATCAACTACACTTCAATAAAAAATGGCAAAAAATAACCAATTCAACTGACAACTTTATTAAAGCAATGGGATTATCATGTCATTTTAGATTACATGGCATATTTCTGAGTCCATTCGCGAGCAATTTGGTCATACTTCTTCCTGTCCTTCATGTAGATCTTAGCAATTTCTGGAACCAAAGGGTCATCAGGGTTGGGGTCACATAGCATGGAGCAAATGGATAACAATACTTTGGAAATGGTCAGTGCTGGCGACCACTCAGATCTAAGGATGTCTAGGCAGATGCTTCCGTTTTTGTTAATATTCGGGTGGTAAATTCGAGTGATGAAGGCAATCTTGGGTGGTTTGAAGGGGTAATCGGATGGAAGTTGGATCGTTAGGAAGAAGACACCCCCTTGGTAGGGGCTGTCGTTGGGCCCCATAATGGTCGCCTGCCAACGGAACATATCGTCACCCACTGGCCCTGCTGAGCACTGGTCGGGGGGGTCGCGGGACATGTCGAGGAGCTCCCTGTGGATGCGCTTTAGGGCCATCATCTGCGACACGTGGCCTGTCCTTGGTGTTGGGCCTGGGGACAGATAGAAGGCGACAGTGGTGATTACGTGGTGGGAGGAGCAGCGGCGACAGACACCGCGTAGGCAGATGGGTGGGTTGAGGGCCTGCTGAAGGGTCAAGGGGGGCGTCGTTGGAGAGGGACGGTGGCGGGGAGGAGGACTGAGGAGGGAGGGAGTTGGGCGCTGGATCAGACCTGATGGGATACTGGACACCAGAGGCTCTTGGCCACCGCCACCACCTCTTCCTCCGCGCTGTCCTGAGCCGGAGACTCCGCCTTCTGGAGGCCCCGCAGCCTCCAGGCCGCGCTGCCCGGAGACACTGCCACCTAGAGATACCGCTGCTCCAGTCCCTGACCGTCTGCCTCTGCTGCTGACCCCAACTGCCTACGCTAGGCCCCCGGGCGACAGGCACGTACGCTTTCAGTGAGGTCACAGAGGCCACGCTGATGACGTGGCGCAGCGTCGCCCAGGCCGGGGCCCGTGGGGGTGGGGGTGGGGTTGTGGCGGAGTGGGGAGAGGGCGGGAGAGGGCAGAGAGAGCGG